TACGAAAGTGTTTCTATTGGTTGGAGATCTGTCAATTCGTCCGCCGTCTTACGAACGGAGGACGAATTGACAGATCTCCAACCAATAGAAACACTTTCGTATCAGCGTACGATCGTATAGACGGATGCATGGGACACAGGCTTAATGTCATCGGCGATAAATTAAAATACAATCCACCTACTTTTCCAGAAGCAAACATCGATAATGTCACAACCTATAGCCTGCACCCAGGAGTAATAAGAACTGAGCTAGGACGCCATATGCGTTCCACTTATGGGTCTGTGGCATCGTTTATTTGGAGTCTGTTCAGCTGGGCGGTTAAAACTCCTGAGCAAGGGGCCCAAACTACGATTTACTGCTCAGTAGATGAGAAATGCGCAAACGAATCTGGATTATACTACGCGGAGTGCGCTGTTAAAACTCCTTCGCAGGCAGCAAGTAATAAAGAAGATGCGAAAAGGTTGTGGATTGAAAGCTTAAGACTCGTTGGCCTACCAAATAACTATAACCCATTTAAAAAAGCTTAAGTTTTATATACTTATAACCTTTTTTATCTAAAATAAAAACACTACACAAACTCAAATTCACTAAACACACACGAAACATCAGAACAGAAACGATAAAAAGAACAAAACACTTTCGATCACTAACATACAAAGACAAAAGAATTCGTATCAATACCGCGACAAAAATATACAAAGCGATCTGCAGACCCCTCTTGGACTACGGACCAGAAAGGACAAAACAATACGTACAAACAACAGAACAAATTGCACTAAGACTAATAACACGAATAAGACACCCCCAAAACCCCCTGCACAACCCTTCCAACCAACTACTATACGAACGCACAAACATGACAAAAATTTCGGAAAGACTAACACACTTACACACAAAATGGACAAACAACCCCCACAACTGGACCATACTGAATCCCCTTTGCCTGACAAGACAGGCAAAACATTCCCGTTTTCGTACCCCAACAGATTTTTACTAGAACACCTACATACGCAACTGAACTAACGACTAAGACCTGTTTGTTTTGTAAGCCAGGAATTTTTTTTTATCACTGATTAGGTTATACCAGTGTTAGGAATAGGAATTAATTTTAGAAAATGCTAAGCTAAGACACATATGTGTCAAGGGCAGAAAGACCCATTGGGTCGATGGAGCCTTTTCCTATAGGAAATAAAGATTATTACACTATTTGTACTTATCTATAATACTAATAAAGATTCATACACCAGTCCGCTAACGCAATTCCATTTCACTCCATGCGCAGGAAAAAAATTATGAATGATTCGATGATGTTCGAAATTGGAACAACAGAAAAGTGTAATAAAAGTGATTTAGAAATATAAATTTATTTAAATACAAATTAGGAGTTTCACATATGGAAATTTGTGAAAACTGATGTTTATTTGACCAAATATACAGGGCTATCAATCTAATTTACAAAATTATTGTAAATGGTCCAAACAAACAACGTTGTTGCAGATATTATGCGTTCACTAACAGCTCACAACTAATGTTATAATCATAAATAATGTAGAATAACCTGCTACAAATCAAGACGGTCAAATAAGTACAAACGTTTACTTGAAATGGACCGATACGCATTTCTTGTGAATTATACGTTTCAGTAGTATCGGTTCAGAACTCTTTTCTACTGTTAAATTAGACAGCTTAAAAACATTGTCCAAACTAATTTAATGATTTATTATTTATCACATTAGGTAAAATATAATACTGACTTTATACATAACTGATTATTACATTGATAATAGCAGCCAATCTACAAAAAAACACAAAACATTGCTTCTGGGCCATTAACACGCAAATTTTTACAGAAAAGATGCAGGGAACACCACATTTCACAAATTGAACAAACACTAAATTTGATCCCATGCCAAACCAATACGTATGTAAAATAATTTGATGAATGGTAGGAATTGAACAATTGGTTAAAGCTTACATTTATAAATAATTTATTGCTGCTTAAATAATAATTCTCTGATACTCAATAAATACAATATGGAGTCTATCCAAACTATCTTAAATTAGAATGAAAATTTTCTATCGCGTAGCTTTAAAAATTGAACTATCAGCCTAAAATTTGAAACAGGTTACTAACTGACAATGAAAAGGAATATCTGGCCATATCATCTAATTGTATAACTATATAAAAATAAACATTTGCTGTGTTATTCTTTGTCAACATACAAATTATTTAAAAAATTGTTCAACGGCAGGTTCGTCTGCTAAAACTAAAAACAGTCCCTGAATATGTACATGCAACAGCTAAAATCACACTATTGTTTACGCTCCCATTGCAATTATTTTACGCATTCAAGCGGATAATTATTAGTTTTACTTAAGAGTGGAAAATAAAAGGTTAAGAAAACCCATATATTGTGTGCTATTGGGAATAATTTCTTAAAGTATTAATTATTTAGTAGTTTTTGTTGAACGTAAAATTTTCAAAGCTCATTTTAAATCAGTTACAACAATACTTTTCAACATAGCAGTTTCATAACGTTTTTTCAACTACTTTTTACGAATGGGACAATGATAACCTGACACAGGTCAGGTTACTGGTGGTAAATATCGATATTTACCTAACAATCAAAATGCTTTAGAGATTGATTATATTGATAAAAGCCAGATACTCTCCTTTAAAGCTTCGAGCCACTTAGCGGTGAAAGGGTAGATACATAAAATAACGCAAAATATTTACTTTCCACAAAAATACACCCAGTAGGAACAGAATTTCCACCTGACTATAACACGCAGCGGTCCCTCAATTTGAACGATTTTTATATTTTCCTACCATAGCCACAAATTAAATAAAACTAAAAGTCCTAAGCAGTTATTTTAAAATATAGAAATAAGTGATTTCTAAGTTCACTTTTCCTCATTTTTTAAAATTTCGTTGTTGAATTCACCCAATTAGATAATTAAGACAGAGTTATTATTAATTGCATGTTTCATCTTATTTAATATGCCCATTGTGATGCACATGTTTTGGAATATGACTCTAGTTCAATTTCAAATTCAATTTTCTAAACAAAAGTAACAATTATCAACCAAAGAATGTGGACATCTGAGATGATGCAAAGGGAATCTCATTGCCAGTGAATATGACTAGATATATTTTTGTGGACCAGAACAAGTTACCTAATCTGACTGAATCAATATAAAAAATTCATAAAAAACTGTACAAAACGGTCACAGAGAGGTTCACATTCTATATAATCTCTATCATATTTATAATACGGATGTGAGTTACGATCTCTGGGAGCAATTCCAATTCAAACTGAAATATTACACTGACCTTGACAAATGTCTTGTACAACACGTTAAGTCACACATTTCATCGACAGAATTCGATTAAAAAAATCACTGTACATTATGGATAACGATCGGTTCAAGCTTAAAACTATTACACCAAAAAGTCGGGATCACTGAAATCGTTTTCGTCACTTTCACTATCACTCATGATTTTTCTTCGCTTCTTTTTGTGTCGCACTTTTCTCGCCTTTTCAGATGATCGGTGACTTCGAGGCGTTCGCTTCGTCTCACCGTCGAATCGCCTGTGCGATATTACCATTTTCGGAACTTTAGGAGGTGAGTGATCCTTAGATGCAAATCAGAAGCCATTAATTTCGAATTTTACGTGCACCATAAAATGTGGACTTGCAATTTTTTTACGAATCACAAGCGAAATTATTTCTGATATACTCGGAAACATACAAGTGGTGTAAACACAATTCACCCTAAATTATATTTTTTTTATAGCAATCAATCCCAGAGTCTTGATACTTGTACAATAAAATTCGATTTGGAACTCATGTCCATAACATAAATGTTAAATTTAAGGGAAAATGAACGACGCCATCACATACCACTGCCTTGTTCGAGCGGTCTTTTTCATACCGAATAGCAGGGTACTTTAACAGAATTTCTGGTAGCATTATAGCGATATCTCCAGTTCAATTCAAACGCCTAATTCCCAAATCATTCTCTGCTAGCTTTAGATTTAGATTTTACCCTATTAGCGTTTCCCTACTCACTCAGTACTTTTTCTTAGGTTTTATACGGTGGGTTTTTTGCAATGCAGACAGACGCAGCCATGTTCAAAGTTTTTTTAATTTTGGTTTCTTTTCAGTATTTAGTTTTAGTTTAGGTTAGTTGAACAGACTTCACCAAACCTCGTCTTTCCATATTACAAACTATTTCAGTTTTTGTGGTATTATGGATGTTGGCTAAGTTAATACCAATACCAAGTCCTTTATTATTATTATTATTATTATATAACATCTTACCTTGTAGTTCTGGAGTACCACTTGATCCGCTTCAGTCAGTATGGCAGCTGGAGCATTAGGATTCAAAGCAGGATTCAAAGTTCCTCCTAAATTGTTCAAAGCCCTACTGTTCTCATCTTCTTCGGCATCGTCGGGATCCAGTTGTAACATTAAATGTTTAAACTGAAACATTTGCTCCAAATTACAACCCACAAAATGTTGAAGTTAATAAATGAACTCACATCCAAGTACTGCCGAATTAGATCGCGTTGGCCATTCTCATCAAGGTAATCCGGTGGTGCACCCTCTTTTAACTTTTGCAGAGTTGTTTTGGGATTAAAAAGAGCATTAGATCTACGCGAAATAGTCTTTTCATACACTTTAACTGCTTCGGAAGGAGAATATAATTGAATTTTTCTGAAAAAGTTTTAATTGCTAGCGTTTTGTTGGTAGAGAGTCATCGATGCTTTAATTACCCATCGCTTAGTCCATAAACATCTTTAATATGCTGCTTCAGCATGAGAAGCAAAAGACATCCTTGGGCAGCCGTCAAGCAGGCTTGTAAATGGCAAACATTTTCTGGGACACGGGCAGCCAATGCTTCCTCATCATCATCTTCATCCAATGCGGAAACAACATTGCTCATTAGCTCCCCATTGTCGGTTTCCATCATTTTACTCTGAGCATCTGATATCAAACCCTGAAGAAGAAATTTCTTAACATTGAAATGCTGCAGACTTGCATGTACTTTAAAATTCGAAGATAATTCTAACCATAACATACCTCTCTAAACGACTGAAGCAAGTTTGTACCCGAATTCGAGACCAGTAACTCAATGTGGTGAACTATAAAGAGAGCTTCGTCTTGCACTTGATAAGGAAAATACGCTAAATTGTCCGCCAGGTACAACATGTAAGATAAACTTGATCGCTACAATTCACACCGGTTAGAAAATATATTAATCAATCAAATAAACTTACAGCTTGTTCATCAAAATGCTTAATAACTTTTAGAATTAAGGCACGTCTTTGTTGTCTGGAGTTTCTCAGTAAAGAGTATAAATAGCCATTTAAGGCAGTTGGATATTCCCCTTTTTCCTTAACGGCATATCCTCTAACTATTGAATCACTGTGTATTATTTTCTGAAGTCGATGTGATAAGTCAATTCCTATAGAAGCTTGTGAATGAACAAAACCCGGATATTTCTTCTCTATTTCAGACAGCATCTTGTCCGCACTGTGAGATATAGATTTTTCCGGATCCGTACTCATACAAATCAGCGAAGGAATGAATTGGGCTGGATGGACCAAGCCTTGATTGCAAACCAACTGGATAACTTTCAAAGCTGGCTGTCGAACCGGTAAATTTTGATGCAAGTAGCATTTCATTACTTCCTGCAAATATTGCTGAATAACAGTACTAGCCATTCCAGACGAGACATCATTCATTTCTTTCAGATTTTCTTCTTTCGATCGCTTAGACCCTATTAAATCACAATAATTATTACTAGTAGGGAAAACGAGTAGACAAGCAAACTTACATTCCAAATCTTGCTGAATCATTCGATTTTCTTCTTCAATTAGATAGCTCTCGACGTTAAGAAGAACGTCGATTTTCATTTGTAAAGGAGCATCTTCAACGCTTAACTGTCGGTGATAAAATTCTTTTAATTCCGGTTCCAACATAAATTCGTGATGCCGTATACAAATGTTTCCAATTGCTTTAAGTGTATTGACTTGAATATCCACATCATTTTGTTGGATAAAATACATCATGTTTAAGTACACTTGATCTTTCGTTTCAGGCTGAAATAGTTATAAAAAAAAACATTGCCAATGTGGATTGTAATTTGCCATCACTAAGTGCAGCTGTAAATAAATGTGTGTGCTTACAGGAAGGTCGCCAAGAACTTCGGGATTTGTAAAATCGAAATGCCTGAGTAGAAGCCCAACAACAAATAGAGCTCTTCTGAGCTGAAATCGGTTTCTCATATTCTTTTGAAAATCTAAATTGTATGTTTCTAGATTCATGCGAAATTCTCGAAGCATCATGTTAAATCTCTTGAAACAGTCCCGAATAAGCTTAAAATTATGAGTAACCTACAAAACACGAAATTGCTGAAATATAGTATCTGGATACGTAAAATGTCCGACAATTACCTTGTTAATGATGGATCCTAAACAACTTAGGCAACTACTAATTATTGGCCTGTTGTACTGAAAGATGAGCTTCATAGCGTCTTCTTCCAATTGAGCTAAAAACGAATCGCTAGGATGTTCCATCAAAGGTACTACAAGTTCCAGCATTCTAGCAACACAACTAATAATCTTCGTATCACCATCAGTGTGGCATTTCAAGCCCAAGTAAGGCTGTAACGTGCTCGCATGTTTGATGAGAAGTTGAGGCCTGATTTTGGCAAAAGACTGCAGGGTAGTTACACAAGCAAGGAGCCTCTCGGAGGCCCCACTATGGGCACTGTTTTCCTCGAGCCGTAAGATATTTTCTACCAAACAATCGACAATTTGCCTGCAAGCGGTAAGCAGAGCCTTAGGGGGTTCTGTATTAATTTTCGTCGAGTCGTCTTTGTCTTCCTTAGGCTTGTAAAGCTGCAAAAAAAATCACATTTAAATAATAATTTCAAACATAATTGTATAGTAAAATACTTACACTAACGAGCAGCTGTTCGAACCATTCCAGTCCAATCTCTTTGGATGACGCCACCACATCAGTAATATGGAAAACTTTCCTAAGTAACGCCTCGTCATGTTTCGTTGGAGTGAACCACATATTTTGAAAAACTTCCATAACTAACTTCCGGATTCCTTCCTCATCGTTGATACGACGAATCATTTTTACGCATATCTCTGGTATCTTCGGAAATTCTGGACATTCAACGCAAATATCCTTCAGTATCTTAATGACTCGTTTTCTTACGCTCACTCCTGTATCTAATATGCGTGGTGAAAGAATTTCGTAGTATTTATGAATGAGTTCGGGCCGTCTGAGTACAAATTTTCCAATTAAGTCGACAGCTGCTTCGCGGACAGAGGTTGATTGATCTAAAATGGATTGATTGACTCCCATTTGCATGTCGTGCCTTCCTAGAACTGAAGGATCCGCTTCCACGATCATGGTGAGACACTTCATAGCTTTTGTTCTGATTGCAATAGAAGTTTCCTTCAGCACCATCAAAATAGCTTTCAGATATTGGTCGAAACTTTGTGAAAAGTGTCGTTTGGAAGCTAGAAATTGGACAATCAATTCAGCGCTATTGTAGTCAATATATGTTTGGAAGACTTGAACTCTGTTTCCAGAAGAGGAAGAAATTGATTCTTGAAAGGGTTTTATTCTGCCTAATAGCACTTTTTTCTTTTCTTCGATTATGCGGAATTTATCAGCGTTTTCTTTCTCGGTGTCTACAGGCTCTGGGTCTTCTTCATCGTCTTCCTCTTCTTCACTGTCACTAGATTTTCCGTTTCGTTTTGAAGATCGGTTAACATCCTTTTTTTCACCACTAACAATTTGAGTTTTTTCGTTGACTAAATCCTTATACCACCATGCAATGTAGAAATGTCTAGCGTATTTAAGCGACTCGTCATTCTGAGAATTAACGGCTAAAAAATCCAACAGGATTCTTTGCAAGAATTGGCTACGCTCGTCATTATTCATCTCAGCTTTCTTTTTCTTCTGAGTCGACTCGTCTTTATCTTTCATTTCTTCTTGCTTGATGTCTTTGATCATATGATCGATGGAATTCAATTTACACCTTGACAGTACACTATCTCTACGAAGTCTTGCAGCCACAACTCCCAAATAGTCCAAACTAGCTACTCTCAGTGACATGTCAGTGCTTTTATTTGAGAAATTCTGCACCAGCATCCTCCCGAGAATGCAAAGCAAAAGTTCTGTTGCAGGCCATTCAGGCTTATTCACAGTACACAATAAATCCTGTACAAAATTTTCAAATAGTGGTCTATAATCAATTTCCTCCGACTTGTTGCCGCATTTACTTAAAAATACGTTTAAGAATATTGCTGCTGTTGTTGTAGCCTTTTCAAATTTGTTACAAATCAAAACATCATCATCCACCTAAGATGATTAACCATTATTAGAGAAAAAGGTGCAATTTATGTGCAATTTATGTACAATTACCTTTTGCTGCTTGTCCTTGTCATGTTTCTCCTTGTCCATCTTATTTGCCGCGGGTTTATCTGGCAGAGCGACAACACACTGAATAAGTTGCAATACCAACGCAGTAAGCATCTGAATATGCTCTTCACTATTCAATCTGTAAGTTCTTAAACTACGCTTTGTACTTGGCAGTCGAGCTATAGAAGCCAAAATATCATCCAGCAGAATCCTGCGATGAGTCTCATACTTAGTAAATATCTGAAAGCAAGCAAAATAAACTAGACGGAAAATTATGATAATCAAAACGAACCGTTGTGACTAATTTTAAACATGCCAGTTGCAGTTCGCTGACATTCTCGACAAAAAATGGACTAATACCCATGGAAGATGCGTGCAAAACGGATGTGTCCGTTAATATTTGTATATTCAGAAGCTCGGACAGTAAATTTACTAACTCTGAAATTTTTGTATACAAATTGCTAATTCCTTTTCCGGACATTGGTGTTGATTTCTTTCGTCTGCCATCCTTTTTCTTATTATCCAGCTTATAGGTGGAATCGTAACTGGGAAATATCGTATTGGACAAGTGATATTTTATATATAGAACCACTCTATCGATAATTTCTTCCAGATAAACTTTCTTTGACATATTTGGTGAAGTCATTATGTACAAACTTGTTAAACAAGCATTCGCAGCTCCCATTACTCTTTCCATGGTGGTTTCTAGCCAGTACTGACGAATACTCTCATTGTCTTCCTAAAATGCAAAGTAACATTTCGGGTTTCCATTAAAGTTGTTCGTTTGAAACTTACGTCGGTTATGGGTGATATTCTATCACCGCCTCGTATATTTAGTTCCAATATACTGAGCAGTCTTGTCAGTTTATCAGTGGGGATCATTTCCATTGCTCCTAGAACTTTGAGCTTAGCTGCTTCAGTGCACAATTCTGACATGATTGAGCGACTAAGCAAATGCTCGTCTTGAATCATATCATCAGCCCCTGAAACCAAAGCAATATGATAAGAATGTATCCTAGATTTTTCCCAAGGAAACTAACCAATTTCTGCAAAATCTATGTCCTCCCCAGAACGCAATACATGTTCCAATGATTTGTTGAAACGCACATAAGTATTACTTTCCATCAGTTCTTCGCTAGGAAGTTTCTGTAATACGGGGACGAATTTCTTTTCAACTCGTCGCAACTTAGGCTTGCTTAAAACGAAAGCTTCAGGCTCTGCATCATCTTTACTAGCAACCCTTCGTCTCTTTCCTATCAGCGCTGAGAAAGTGTCTGTCGGATCAGGTTCCTCATTTGGATCAAATTCGTCGTCACTCTCTTTATACTTCCGTTTTACTCTTCGCCTAGTCGGCTGCTCTCCTTCTTTCTCAGAGTCAGAATCCTCTTTGTAATTCTTGCCTTTCTTCAGTTCTATACCTAGTTCTTTGGCTAGCTGAGGTTTAGTTTGTACAAATTCTGTCAAACTTCTTTGCATTAAAACCTGATCCTCCTCTGATATTCTATCGAGCTTAACCACAACCACTTGTTTTATATCAAGATTACTTTGCTCTAGTTTTAACTTTTCCATTTCACTAGAGTAATCTGAAAGGGTTGGTGCTGATTGATGATCGTCTGGAAAATTTACTAAATTGGTTAGGTGGTCCTCAGATGAAGGAGAGTCTCTGATAACTGTCGAGGGGTGTTGTTGACCTTAATAAATGTCACTATATTAGTGGATTTGAGGAAGAAAATAATAAAAACCTGTCAACCAACTACACTTTATAGAAAATTAAACAAATATTTTTTTTATTATTGGCTTTTCTTCTTTCAGAAAACAAAATTAATTTAAAAAAATGCATTATGAAAGCAAAGCGCCTGAGCAGGATATTAGTTAGTACTAGGATGAAACCAAACCATTCGAATGACTGTACACATGCCAGATACACATAATAATTAGTCTACACGTTGCATGTTACCAATGGACAAAGAAAATTTACAGATATACTGTATTCACTAAAGCAAAGCATAACATACTAAAAGCGCAACTAAACAGTTCGCCATGACTTCTTTAAAAACGTTAATGATATAATGTGCTTACCTCTATTAATAGGTCTTCTCAATTGTCTCAGTTCACTGGTAGTTGTAGTGTGATTAAAACCACCAGAAACAGTTGATATACTACACGGAAGAGTTGACATATTGGGGAAAACACCCGTTATAGAATCTGGAGATGTGGTAATAGTTTTTGCACTTGTGACCGGCGGAAATTTTACCCCTTTCACTTCCATAGCAAAACTATTGCTCAACTTATGTTGAGTACTTTGTAATTGAATTTGTTGCTTTTCGAGAATTTGCGACTCAGCATGTTGTATTACCGATGTAGGAATGTTACTAACACTGGAAGGTACTTGAGGAACATGCTGGGGAACCTCATGGACGATTTCTTGCATTATTTGATTCTGTGCTTCAGGTAGCTTGGGCTTAAAATAGTGCTCTTGAGTAGTGGCTAACTCGGCTGATTTCTGGTTTGAGTCTGATTGGGAAACCCTGGGCGTCAAAGGCTCACTTTGCTGCGAGCTGTGAGCCTGTTGTTGCAATACTTGCTGCTGACGTAAATATTGCTGTTGCTGAAGTTGCCTCTGTTGCAGTAACAGCCGTTGTTGGTATGCTATAAGCAGAATGATGTCTTAACTATAGATCACCATCCAGCTGTTTCTCGAGATTATCCACACTTAGTCAAGCATAATTAAAACTTACCCTTGCCGCTAAAAACTTCCGGATTTGCCTGAAGCACTGCCTTTAACAGATCTGGCATACCGTCTTGTTGGTCTAGTTTACTATCTGCCCCTGCATAATTGTCTTTGACTTCTCTGAAGCAAAGTTGGGATATAGCGAAAAAGTGCTTTGTGACAAAGGCTAAGTACACTTACATATGGTCTGCAGAGGTTTTTTCCAATGAGGCAACCAACTGAGGTATGAGAACTTCATTTTTCTGACCCAACAAATTTTGGGCTTCTTCAGCAACTCTTGGGTGAAAGAGCAGTGATTTATTGCCTATCGTTTGTGGGGAGGGTGTCGGCAAGGGAAGTTCTGGTAAAACTAGTAATGCAAATAAGGTTAAGCGTATAATGTGCTCACTATCTTGCCTTATACTTATTTAGTATACGTATTTCAATGATTTTTCTCTCGTCACTAATGCACATGCTGAATTAGGTTGGCTTGAGTGAGTTGGAGTGCACAAATCAAAGCAATGTATTACAATGAAAACATTTAATGCGAACGAAAATATTAATATTGTGATGTGACGAACCTTTTAAAATACTATATTCTGCAGGCAGAGCCGCCTTACAGTCTGTAAGACTAGCAACTCCCGCTAAAGTGGTGATGGGTACATGAGGAATTCCTGGATCCATCTCCACTGGACAATAACTTCAGTTATCTAAAAATCATGTTCAACTCAGTATTGGAGACGGGGTACTATTTATGTCACAAAAGTAGGCTTGATGTGGGGCTTATGGCAGCAGTCCATATCAGTTTACTCTAACCTCTCACCAGATTTCAAAGTGTTTGGAAATGAGTATTAGGACGATTTAATTGAACAGTCGCTGATGTTTACTATTGTTTACATCGCTCTTGGAGGATAAATAGTAAATGTTATTTTTTGTAGGAAAACAATTCCAAATACTATAACTGTCAACACCATACTAGTTGACAATTGACGTAAATAAAGAAATCATGGAATTTATTTTCCATCTAGGGAAAGAGATATTATCTGATATTAGCACATTTATTACTTAGATAGTCTCTCCCTTGGATAACGTTGAAACTCCTGCTGATGTCAAATGCCTGATCACTTCAGAAATAAACTGTTTTGTTTGCTCGTAAACCCCGTTACTGACGCCATCATTTTGCCTTATTTCACTGACCACAAAACCGTTCTGGACATCGGTACTGACACCATTTTACTTCGTTAAAGTCCACGCCACTTTATATTTACGCACATTTCACATATAAATTTAAATGAATCAAATATAGAAGTTTCTTCAGACGGAAACCATGGGAGGAAAACTCCAGTTAACTAGTTACGATCTCTCAGTCGGTAAAGTTTTCCAAACTCTCGGTCAGATGGCACTCGTCTTCATTTGTTTTGCTTTTTCTTTGTGTCTCTTGTCCGGCTAAAGTATCTGCAAGAATTCTCTCTATCTCTATCTCTCTCTGTCTCTAGACCAAACTCCATAGAAATAATAAAGTTAAAAACATCAACAGCAGGTTTGCTAAAACAGGAGAGATAGGAATATTTGCATTCAAATATCCTCTCATTGTGTACTTTTATATGGGTGGCCGGAAATACAGGGTGTCCCGATAAGGGTAAAGAGTAGCTGTATCTCGACAATGGCACAGCATAAAGATTATCTTTAGCGGCAGCATCTAAATCTCGATCATAATATTTGTGCTGTCACGACAACGGTTTGGGGAAAAATTCCTTATAAGTAAAGTTGGCATAAAAAATGGCTGGAAAACATGATGCAACGAATACAAGGCAGGATCTTGCGTCGTTTTGCGTGACGTCAGTGGAAATCACTGCCGGGCGTGCTTCTTCCTGTCTGCTAAATGTGATTAAATATAGCTTATTTAGTCTTTGTCACATTTAATTATTTTTTTATAAATCTTCCTTATAATTACAAGATGCTTTGCAGCAGATTTTAGACTTGAAAATTAAAAGTAACAAACATGTATTTATATTGTAGACTAGCACAGTTGCCAGTTGTGCAATAAAGTATAGCGTTAGTTGAAAATGTATCCTTGCAGAAATAGTTCATTACGATTCAAGAGACGGAAGTCCAAACAATGACCCAATGTTACTTTCCTATTATTTACGACGGAAGATGCGGTTTGTGGTGCAGCGGATGATATGTAAATTTTAATACAAATGAAATGACTGCACACCGCATTTTTTATATTTCTGAACCGATACTTAAAAGTAGCAAACAATCTAGAGTACACTTTCCAACTACCAAACGCACCAATGTTCAGTTTTGTCTACAAAATTGCCAAACATGCCCAAACGCATTAACCCCATGACACAATGAATTCATTGTATGATACAATCAATTCATTGTATGAACAGTGCATTCATTCATTGTGATACAATTAATTCATTATTTCGTTTGGCTCAACCCGATCTCAAATGACACTCTGGCAACACAGCACGCTAAAACGCTGAAAATCAGAGATTTTTTAAAGAATTATTTATGGTATTTTTCTTCCCAATAAGCCCAAATCAGGTCCCAAACGCGATTTTCAAAGCATTGAGCTATATAATACGGAGGTGAGCTATAATTTGAAAAAGGTTTTTTAAAGAAATTTTAGAGCTTGGGTAATACTGTATCGTTTATTTCTTTGACCTTTTTTTGTATTTTCCTTAATAAAAAACTGGGAGGCCCTTGCAGTTTTTAGCACTTGCATTTTAATATCTCATGAACCACTTGACCACTAACACTAGTTTTGGTTTTGCTTGAAATACCATTTTAATGTCTTTTAAACGCCATTTTTTGTTAAACCGTTTGGTTTGACACAAGCCAACTAGAGGGCGTTCTCTGCTGCGATTACACATTTTTGTGATTTTTGGACAACAGTTAAATGGCTCGATACTCTTTATTCGGCACACGCTTACACAACTTGAAATTACCTATATTTTAGTGAGAACCTCATCGTGATATCTTCAGTCGTTCTCGATTTATAGAAGAAATTGTAAAGCTTTTTAGTTCGAAAATCCGATCAAGTTGACATAGTCAGAAGCAAATCACGTAGCGACGTCGCCATTGTAGGCCTGGGTCACAGAACATCCCCCCGGGGGATATTTTGTGGCCTGAGTAACACAGTGGATTTTCATTTTCATTTATATATTGGAAAATAGAAACAGAAGATGCTGTGTTTCGTGACGTCTAGTGTTTCCTAGGTTCACTAGCGGTGCAGCACGTTCAATGTTTTTTCTTTTGTTTTACTGAAGAGAGAGTAGGATAGACGCCGGTTGCGTTGAAAGGAATGAATGAAGTGGCAACATGGTTTCTTCTTGTAAAGCCTATTTGTGTTAAGGCTCAGAATCAAACTCGAATAATTCGAGTATTCGAATATTCAAAAAGCGAATAATCATGTCTAGTCATAACTCGAATATTCGAATACCCAAATAATCGAATACTCGAATACACCAGGTGCAAATATATTTATATCAAATTCATTCCTGGGTCAGGAAAGTATATACAATATATTTATATGCACTTTGTATACTTTCATCAAATAAATTATTCATATTCTACAAGCAGTTAAACAAATACCCCTATATTTACAAGTAAATGAAAATAATCATTTACCCTCCTGCAAATGAATATAAAATTACGTGTCTGGGTTGTGACTCGCGTCATCAAATTTTGCGCGGCGTTACAATTAATGTGCCGACAAAGGATCGGCAGTTTTTTAAGATAACTTCTGAAATCGTGTTAAAAATCGCTCTCAAAGGAAAAAATTACAAAGGCCATTCATTGCCGCTAGTTGCCAAAGATGATATCAGATAACGTTTTTTCTTCTTGGGAAACGGTGAACGGAAAACGAATACTCGAATATGCGTCAGATATTCGAGTATTCGAATAATTTTACTATTCAAATAAACCACTAAACGATTATTTCAAATTTAAAAAAATTCCTAGCACTAATTTGTCTCGCAAGAATCTGAGATTGGTTTCGCAGCTGTAGGATCAGCCATAAATTATGACCGAATTATTTTTGTTCCTTTGTGTATGGAAGGACTGACAAAACCATTTAAGTTACTTTTTGTCCTTCGTCGACTGAATTTTCATGCAATTAAGTAGTGCAATTAATTAAGGGTGGGGCTCGATTTTGGGAAAAAAATTGTTTTTTTCTCAAAATGTCTCCAATTTTACCTCATTTTCAGCTCACAGAATCGACATTCTCGGCACATTTTAAGGCGTTTTTGAGCTTTCGCGATCTTCAACCGACGATTTCTTCCTTATTATTGACCCAAACACTTTATAAATACATATTGGTGAGATTCTTACGTCAAAAGTAATCGATTGAGCTCAAACACGCATGTGAAATTTTTATTTTTGGCCGAAATTTTTCTTAGGGTGAGGGTCGATTTTTTGAAAAAATTAATTTTTTTTCAAAATGTCTCAAATTTTACCTAGGAATGCATCGAACTCATTGAAAATCATGCTAAAAGTTTCAGATCCGACACAATAGACATATTCAGCACATTTTAAGCGTTCACGATCTTTAGCCGACGATTTCTTCCTTATTATTGACCCAAACACTTTATAAATGCACATTTGTGACCTTCTTACGTCGAAAGGAACCGATTGAGCTCAAAGAAAACGCATGTGAAATTTTGATTTTTGGTCGATATTTTTTCAAGGGTAGGGATCGATTTTTTGAAAAAACATGTTTTTTTCATTGTCTTTTTTTCCCCATTTTCATGTCTTAAATTTTACAAAATTTTAAGCTCACGGACGCAAGAAATGCATCGAACTAATTGAAAAACATGCCAGAAGTTTCAAATCCGAAATAATAGACATTTTCGGCACATTTTAAGCGTTTTTTGAGCGTTCACTATCTTTATTCGACGATATCTTCCTGATTATTGACCCAAACGCTTTATAAATGCATATTTGTGACCTTCTTACATCGAAAGGAATCGATTGAGCTCAAACACACGCATGTGAAATTTTGATTTTTGGCCAAAATTCTTCCAAGGGTGGTCGATTTTTAAAAAAATCAAAATTTTCTTAAAATATCTTAGGTTTACATCTTTTTCAGCTCAGGGACGCGAGGAATGCATCGAACTCATTGAAAAACATGCTAGAAGTTTGTTGGGAAATGAGTAAATAAGATCTATTTGTCTCTCCTGCCAACCACATAAGTTAGTCTAGGGGGCGATGTGACAATTAGTTTTTCATTTTCAGTTGTATTTGTTTCTAGTAACTAAGGTAATGAAAAAAAACAAGACGTAAAATAAATAAGGTTGTGAGCAATATACATTTTAATTTTGCCGACAATCGGGTTTTAATTCGTCGGTTGGGTGCATTCATATACTTAAGTCGGTGTTGGGCGKGCCATCTCAGATAGGGACGCGCAGGAAGAAGAAAATAATACAARAATACTGTCCACTTAAACAATCATCGACAAAGTTTCAGATAAAATACCGAAATAATCATTTTGGCTCTGAATATATTCAGAGCCCATTTCGTTCCAAACTGTTGCAAATACAAATTTTCTTATTATAGGCAGTGAATGTGTCGAGAATACACTCTGCGAACAATCTGTTCTATTTAAAAAATGATTCATTATTTTGATCGGGAAATAGTCTTTTCGACCTTAACCAATCATTAGCCACTAATCACTAATGATATTAAAGGTAAAAGGGGAGCTTTAATGGGAAATAATGATAAATGTTGGCTTCATACTTTATTGTATTCAGTTGTCCATATGGAAAAGTACAAATATTGCAAACACCGCACTAGCTATAATGGCATTCTGACAAAAACCGTCCGTTGAAAGTTGACTGCATGTACGAGTTCTGGGTATCCACAAGAGGATATTCGAATGATGCTATCCATATCACAGCCAACTTAACTAGTGCCAGTGTACTTACTATAGTAACTTACAGTCCGTTTCTGGTGTAATCGACATTCTGGTTCTGAAATGTTTGAAAAAATTGGAGACCGACTTTAACAAGACATTCCGAAACCGAACAATATTCAGCTCATCGATACCAAATAAAAATTCAACCCAATTTGAACGAATCCATAACGTTGCACCTCGTGGTTCTTTTAAGTAAAGGTCCACTCTTTTCCTTCACTACACTAATAGACGCAACTAATACTATAAATGTTTGATACAATAATAAGTAGGTGTACTTGATACAATAAGTAACCATTTAATGACAATAAATACACACAAATGCAGCTTAGTGCAACACTGGACAGTAAGCAAGGAAGGACAACGAACAGGAGAATACATAAACGCTAAAGTAACGTATATACTAACAGAACGCAATTAAAATTAAGTTATATTAGGTATATAAGGACATTTTTTTTGAAACTCCAGTATTTATTCCAAAAAC